GTCCTCAGTAATACTGGTATTTGGATGAAGCACAGCAAAACCTAGCTGAACCTTACAGGCAGTCATGCTCTGGTATGATGAAAGACAACCACACCTAAAAAGAGTGAGACATGCGGGCTCCTGTTTTAGTTCTTTGCAGCATCCAAACACCTGTGAAATAGCAAGTGCATGTTTCCCATAGAGATATACGAAATTACAAGAAATTATTTGTGTCACTTTCAAAGAGGTGACTTCATCCCAGCTCAGTCTCAGGAGTTTGTGAAATAGTCACCCATAAAAATGAAAGAACTACACTTTTGTCAGTGAGCACAAATTTGTAAGTCATGCAATTCAGTGGGAAATATGTTTTGTCCCAAAAGCACGTATGTTCTGTAGAAAAAGCAAGTGTCACCATGGCAACCAGAAAGAAGTGTTTTATAAGCCATGGCAACTGTTGCGTTTATTTTTTAAACCTAACCCAGCAGATTTTAATGCCTAAAGCTGCGTCCACAGTGGAATCAATTGGCAGCGACCTGGCAACCACACACCACAGAAAATCAACTTCAAGCAACTGCACTACTTGCAAATAACCCCTGACAATGTAAAATGTAAAATGGGCGGGACCTGAGATAACCATTTCTCAACTTTTAGGCGGGCAACTGTAGCGACTAAGTGAGCACAGGATACTACTGATTGGCATGTGGCCTGGTAGTAAATACATGCTTTTTTCAGACAACAGTGCATCCCTCACAAAGCCTTATTTTGGTTAGAACATTACTTGCCCACTGATCAGCCCATCGGCCCAACACTAACCCAACAAGCTGAAAAATGATACCAACTGGTCAGGTTAGACAGGTTGTTATAGGATGACCCCAAATGGGTCCCATTCCTATTTCCAGCCACCCTGGGAATAAGAATGTGCCATCCTGTCAGTTGAGTGGAAAATGAGAAAAGAAGTGTTTACGTATAATAAGTGAAAGCAAAACAAAACAAAAAAAACATTAAGGTCCAATTACTGCATTCAATATGATAAAAGACCAGTTGGGGAGGGTGTGGGTCAAGGTAAACTGGTAGGCATCTACTTTAGACTCAGTTCAGGGGTTTTTGAAAGTTCTCAGTCATCCAGGTCATCATCATCTTTAAGTTTCTTGAAGACGTTTCACCTCTCGCCCAAGAAGCTTCTTGAGTTCTAAGAGGTGGAGAGCCCTATTTAAGCCCTATTGGGAGTGTCCATAAGAGGGTTGCTGACCCTCTATTGATCATCTGCCTAATCACATGAGCCAAGGTGTGAAAACAGGTGCTGGTTACTATCAGCCTAATTGTCATTTAAGTACGAGGATGGGTTGTTTTTATAAACAACACAAGTTGGAACACACACACCCAGACACACACACAACAGTAATCTGAATGAATTATTGTGTTTGCACTCAATCGCACCTAGACAGTTCATTTGCATTCAGAGCAATTTATACAAATAAGTGCAAAGCAGAGACAAATGAATACACTTACACACATTAAACAATACAAATGTTAACAGACCCACACCCACAAAGAAGCACAGTTTTTATTATTGTGTATGTAGCATTCAGTAAAATATGGACAGACATACTCTATCCTTCCTCATATTATCATAGACTCGCCGCCCACTAAAATATCTCAGCTGGAGGCTTGGTTGCGTCTGGAGATGTGCTCGCTTTTCATCTCAAAATACACACTCACAAGTGGACACATGGGAACGTAGAAAGAAAAAAGCACAAAAGTAAACACACACACACTTATTCGCATTTCATTCTTAAACATCCCACGCAAACGGGAACACGTCTCAATGGTTTTTGGTCGTTTGTGCTCTTCACAGGCAAAGACTCACTGTATGCGCGTGCTGACTATCACACACACATAAACTTTGACTCCTCCACCTCTCCTTGAAGACATTTATGAGGTGCTAAATCACTAAGCTGCCTGACTGGTAAGGGTAAATAGAGAGGAGAGCCATACATACACACACACACACATGCTGTGATGTGAAGGAGTAAACATCAAAGCATCTGTTGGATTTTTATCTTTAGTATATTTTTGAATGAGTACAATGTTTAACGTTCTTTTCAGAACTTTTTTTGAGGAGTGCAGACAAAGTCTAAATTAGTCTGGTGGAGAATCACTTGGAGGGCAAAGGAAGCGGAGAAAATGCAGGACAAAAGAAGATTTGAGTGGGCGCGCTGATGGATGGCTGAAGAGGGAAGAAGAAATGGATGAAAGCTCAAAAGATTTAGAGAAGGAAAGCATGGAAATTTATTGAGTAAGACTGAGGGAGAGGAGTGGGTGAATGGAGTAGATGGATGGAAGGAAAGTAATCGGAAAGGGGGGATATATCAAGAATATATCAAGACAGACCAGAAGGAATGTAAGAGAGAGAGGTTTGATTTATTCTCAAATCATGAATGACTGGGTGAAAACAACTTGTGCATGCAGGAAGTTCAAATTAGATGATCTGATTCTTTTTTTTTTCTTCCATTGCTTCTTTCCGCAGTTCGCCCTCACCATCATCTCGGATAAACACCTCAGATATGTCCGTTCACAACAGCAAGGTTCAAAGCTGAATGCAGATACTGAAACCGACTGACACCCTGTGGCAAACGGACTACAGCGATTGGGTGGACAGAGGACGATGGTGGCCCGGAGCCATGGATATGAGTCATCCAATTTCCAGCTCTAAATTAAAAACTCTTAAAGTCTCACTTCCACTTGGATGTAGATGTGGCTGAACACCAAAAAGCAACTCGGGACAGTTTTGCTCAGCATATACCTTGAGAACTCCCTGGCAATGATTTGTTGGCCAGTAATGGGAGATACAAGCCTAACAGAACAATTTGAGGCTGTTTGGAGCTAGCAAGATTTATTAAAACACAATAATAAAACCAAGAGCCCTTGTAGCTGCTTCTTCCCTATCCCCCTGCCCCAGCTTCCCTGTCATTCACAATCCCCCAGATTTCTCCCTTTCTTGCTTTCTTCCCATCCCATCTGATCAACTCTTAGGTGATATCCTTCAGAGAAGTGTCCCTTAATTTTGAGTGCAGCTTCTTCTTCTGTATGCTTCTGAAGCAGATTGTCCAATCTCCAGTAATCTCTCTTTGAAATGGGTGGCCCAGCAAGGGCTCTTCTTGGTGGGTTTGGGACAACCACATCCTCCTTGGAGGTCGGGAGTCGAATGGCTTGGCCGAGCAACAACCCCTTAGATCTCAATCAAACCCTCCCATGGGGGATAGGAATTGGAAGCAGCAGCGGAGGTGGTGGTGCTTCCGGCATGAGTTTAGGTCTGGATAATTTAACAACCCAGGAGTCTGTGAGCAGGGCGGTTATCAAAGAGAAGAACTGGCCAGCACTGCTCATACTCGTCATCATTGCGCTGACGATCGGCGGAAACATTCTGGTCATCCTCGCGGTGTCGCTGGAAAAGAAGCTCCAGAATGCCACCAACTTCTTTCTGAGGTCACTGGCTGTAGCGGACATGCTCGTAGGGATCCTGGTTATGCCAATCTCTCTTATCAACATCCTCTATGGTAAGTTTATGGTACCCATAAATGACATCAGCATGAAACACTTATATACAAATAAAATTCACAACTCATCTCTGCTGACAGTAGCATATTTATAGTCTTAAGCAACTTTAAAACATCAGTGAACAATTGGATGAGTTGGTTTGGTTTATATGTAAGTATATATGTTATTGCTGTCAGCGTTAATCTCGTTAAAATGCCGTTAATGCAATAACCGCATTTAAGGTGTCAAATCTCCGTTAGCGAGTTAAATGGAGATTTGCCACGTAAATGCGGTTATGGCGTTAACGTCATTTTAACGAGATTAACGCTGACAGCACCCAAAAAAAGTCGTTCATTTTACTTTCTGTATCTTTGATTTTTTTTTTCCATTTTTCTTTTCTTTTTCTGTTTTAGCCATTTAAGAATGATTCAAGAGTCAGTCATCATCTTTGTGTGCCGTGATCTCAGCACTTGATCGGATGTGTTCACGGACATAGTGCAACCTGTGATCAGACCAGCTGATATCATTTAGGATAACTTAGTAAATTAGTGTTTGCAGTGAAGATAAACTGACCACTTAAACATTTAAATGACGCTTTTCTAGTTTTGTAGCTTCAGGCTGAAAAATCAAAGAGAAGGTGGAAAAATTGCTGCAAACTGAGAAACTACATTACTCCTACATTCTCAGTAAGCTCAGTACAGTCAAAAGGAACTTGTAAATTACTCTTACCAACTTTGAAAGAATAGCAAAACAGATGATCCACTTTCCTTAAGTGTTTGTAATTATGTATTCACTTCTTTACAGCCCCTCCTTTAATAATAAAAAGCCAGCTTCATCCCTATAAATCTCAATCTTTAGACAATCTGCACCTGATCTCAAATATCCACCCACTTGCCAGCTGTTGTCAGCACACTGACATGCGCCTGCCATCATTAAAAAACATTTTTCCGTGCAGTTATTGAAATGATTATTACTTCTCTGAGACGGTGCACACTGTTATTTTGCAAGTGAATCAAAAGCCGGAGGATGCCAGCTTAATAATTGCAATTTCATACCAGCTTTTTACTGCTGTTCTTGCTTCCAGTGTCCATGCCAGGATTCTGCATGAACGCCCACATTAGCATAATAGGATATGCGCATTCCCCAAGCACGTGTGAAAACATTCGATTAAAGATAGACTGTCTTCTTCTAATGTTTCAGCTAGCTCTCGACGTGAACGCCTCAGGAGGGAGGTACATTTCCTACTTCATACCTGTAAATGTCACCATCACAGAGACGATCACAGAGCTGATAGTCAGTGAGAAAATCTGTTTCAGAGATGTAGATAAACAGATGGTGACCTTTACAGGTTTCAGTGACAGCATTCTTTCTCAGTGCTCACATCACCGGCTTCCAAGAACTCTTAGCGCCTTATAATAAATGTATCTATGTTTTTTGGCTAATATCATACTTCCAATCGTATGAAGCCATATTTTAAAGATTTTTGATTAATCTGTTCAGTAATCTGAGAAACATGAGGACATTTATGAAGGTATATTTTCAGGGATGCTGTGCACGATATACCTTTTTAAAGGGTAGCTATAATGCTCATTGTTTCTAGACCCATGTTTTTATTATTCGACTGCACTGGAGTGTCTTTGTGTGATTTACGTTTTAAAATAATCTTTTTTTTTTATCATTTAGCTTTTCTGCAGTTCATTCACTCTAAAGCAGTGTGTTTGAGCTCCCTTCCATCTCCTTTTAAGACAACTTTGTTCTGATTGGCTGCCCCTCACAATTTGAATATTTTTAAAGCATGTGGGTGGGGCTTCTGTGCTACATGCCCACAGTTAAGTAGAGACAATAGTTGTAGTGAAACCAAGTGCATAGAGGACTTGAGCTTTTGGTTCATGGAGATTGCTTGAATATATACTCTGCCCTCATTATTTGAAACTGTGGCCATGTTTTGAAAATGCCACTGTGACAGAATATATGACAGAAATTAATGAAACCCATAGTGTGGCTACTTTGACCTCTTTACAGCTACCATGTTGCTGGCAACGATTAAGGCAGGATTTGCCCTTTGTGTGGAATTATAGAAATTTGATTAGATCTTCTAGTTTCCAAAACTAGGCTTCCTTAGCAAAACGCAAACTAATCCTAACCCTCATTCAGTGGGGATTCTGGTGGATGTTAGCCCTCAGTCACAGAAGCCTAGAGACTGGTCTGCAAACTCATGGAAAATTAATATTCCCAGACTGGTTGCAAGGGGTTGCAGCCATCCAGTCGCTATGGAAAGATTTGTATTCCACAACAAATTGGCAAGTGGTTGCTGGAGTTTGCTGGCTAATACTAAATTGGTGTCAAAGAGGTATGCAGTGCTGCATTGGAAACTGCGTCGGTCAATAGCAGAATGCTCTGGTCTCCAGTAGTTTGCATGGAAGATGCCAACCAGTTTGCAAATACTTGCAAACTGGTTGCTAAGTCAAAGTGGATTTGTGAAGATTTGAGGCTAAATGTAAATGAAGAACTTTTACGTTCAAAGTAAACGTTGCACTTTTTGAAAGGTGTTGGTTGCAGCAGTAAGGCACAACTTGCCTTGAAGGCAAATGCTCTTCATTTCTGGTTTGTGTCACACAAGTTTCACCACCAGTAGTTGGTTAGTGCTAGGAGGAAATACAACCATTCTCCAGCGGGGGAGCTGGCCCCAGGGAGGGGTCACTGCCCCTCCCTTCCTTCCCTCCCCATCTCCAGCTGCCTCCCTCTTCCCGCTCCACCACAACCACCCACACATGCAGGGCCTTGGAGTAGGGGTATGTCACCAGGGTGCAGAGGAGGCTACCCCCCCCTCTGTCCCCTTCTGGCTGCCTCTGCCTCAATTTTATCCCACAACTTAGACATTCACATTATTCACACTCTCATTACACATACATATAGGATCTTGGGGGTGGGCACAATCACGGAGTCCAAATTACCATCAGGGTGTATACCTCACCCCTGACGTCGTTGCCCACCTCTCAATTTTAAATACACGTAGACATTGAGGGCTAGCAGGAGGGACCATGCGCTTACCTGCTGCTCTCTGGCAGGTAGCTCCATGCCCTCCTGGGTTTTAAATGCACCTTAGAACACACATGCATCAACACTACAATGAGCGGGTGGAGGGAGGTTTGGAGTCTTCTCCCACCCCCATTCTCTGCGGCCTGCTGGAGCGGGAGGGCTAGTAGGAGGAGTTGGCCGTCCGACTGCGGTCTGGGGTGTGGGGCCTCCCTGCTGCTGCGGAGTCGGGGTGGTCTGCCTCTCCCCACCGCAGGGAAAAGGGTAACACCACCTGGGTCTGGGTGCAGTTCCCCCCTCCAGGGGCAAGGGTACCTAGACCCGGTTTGTAGAGTACGCTTGGGGAGTGTGATCGTGTGTACAGCGTCTCTTTATGTCTGTCTCCACGTTGGTTGAGTGTGGAGTAAGTGCATATGAGAGCATGAGGGGGGGAATGGATGTTTGTGTCTGTGTGTGCCTGTATGTCTGTGTCTATATGTCAGGTTGGGTATCAGACGCCACCTCTCTGGGGACACCTCAGGCCCTCCAAGGTTTGGAGGCCTATCTCCACCCACCACCACTTCCCCTGCCGGTGGCGGACTCCCTCAGGTGTCGGTGCGTTGGTGGTTCTTTGTGTCTGGGGGTGGGCGTCCGGGTACACACCGGCTCACTCCTTGGCGGCCGCTTATCGGGGCCTGGGCCTGGGGCTCGCTCGGGCCCCTTTGGAGGTGGGGTGCCCCCGGCCTCTCGGCCTGGGGCTCGGTCACTCAGGCACAGCTGGGGGCCGGCGGAGCTCACGGGCGCGTCACTGCAACTCCCCCTGGCTTCTGCTCCGCGGCTGCTGGGCGAGCCCTCATCTGGGACTCTCCTCAGCTCTTACTGGAACAGTGGCGCGGCTGCCCCTCTGTTGGTCTTCCTTGGTCTCTTGTGTTCTGGGGGCCTCTGGATGTCTGGAGTTTTGATCTCCTCCATACCTGCTTCATACCCTGGAGGACGGGGCTGTGGCCCCCCCACACTCCCTAGCAGATCATTACATGGAGAAACCTTTGGAATGCAAGCATGCTGATCCACACAGGTATGCACACAGGTGTACACATGGGTATTCACAGACGCGGACTAAAGCTTTCTTGGCTGCTGCCTCAAAGCACACTGTGCGCTGTCTATCTTGCGTGCTGCACAATATCGTTTATTATTTAGTAACTATTGATATCTATGACTAGCTAGTTTATTGTGATGGTGCTTTGTTTTCTCTATTATTATGTTGCTCTTTGTTGTTTGCTGTCTCCTCTGTTTGTTTTTTTTTTGTTTGTTTTTTTTCTCCATACAGGTGACCCAGGAGTTTGTTTTTTTTTCCCCCCCCCTTCTCACCGTCTCTTCTCCCCTTTGGTTTTCTTTCTTCTCCCCCTCTTTCTCTCATTCATTCCCCCTGTCCTATTTATTTAAAAAAAAAAAAAAAATGACAAAGGATGAACTGAAGCTCTGCCATCACGTAATGTCGCATACTGCTGTTTCTGATGTCATTTAAAAAAAAAAAAAAAAAAAAAGAATATACAATGTTTTTAACAGTGATGACAGCAGCGCAGCCCTTTCTGCAAAAGCTTACCATGAAATTAATCATTTATTATTGATTAGGACTTGTAACAGGTCAGAACTTGAGGTTTTCACTGTGAAATTTGATGAAGCATGCAAACAAAGTATGCAAACTAATTGGATAAAAGGAAAAAGTAAACTTAAGCAGTCATCATCAGTTTCATCATCTTGCGTGAGCAGTGCTTCAAGCAGTAGAACTAACAAGTCAAAAGCCAAAGGATAAGTCCCATGAATTTAATTACACCATAGTAATTGAGTTTGATCACATTTTAAGTTTAAGAATTTTAAACGCCTTAGTTCAGCTGATTTAATAATCAAATTACCTCAGAAAACATGATGATGAATAGCTTTCTTTATTTTTCTTGGAAAGTTAATCATACCTCGACACAATGTCAAAATCTCAGCTTTTGTTGCA